ATAGATAGATAGATAGATAGATAGATAGATAGATAGATAGATAGATAAAGCAAATTCTAGTGTCAGAAAAACTAGTAATACATCCAGTCATTTAGGGACACTTCAGCTCCAGCTTGGCCTCAGGTTTATGGAAACTCTTATTTACCTATCACTGTTGATTAACCATCCCTAAATGCCTTTCTGCCAAATGGCTTGAGTGACAAAAACACACTGGGATTTCCATAAGGTACTACTAGTGTGCCTTCTGCCTGGAGCACAGCGCTAACAGGCCTCTTTGTAGGTTTGTGGTTCTGTTATGTGTCTCACACTGCTCAGGGCTTGAAGGCAGCCCCGTGGGGAGTGCTCCTGCTTCGGGCCCCATCCCAGCATGTGTGTCCTGGCCTTCTGACTGCCCTCCCTTCTCACCTTCTCCAGGGGTCGGATCAAACACCTGGATGTGGTGACTCTCCTCCGGCGAATTCAGCCTCCTTTGGGTTTTGGGAAGTTGTGTCCCCACCGTGTGGCCTGCAAAGTAAGAAATGACAGTTCCTGTGGGAGTGGGGGGGGAGGGAATGTGAGAGGTTTGCCTTTGTGATTATTAAGGGAATGAAGATATTTTGGGTATTTAAAGAGACAGATGAGAGCCAGGTTCTATTTTAAGGACCCTTCCAGATCTAAATTCCCAAGGCCTTAAAAGAACAAGTCACAGTGAATGTCTTGTGCCCTAGTGTGGGAAATAGATATCCTATATGAATAAAGGCTTTATTTAGGCCAACAGGCTGCACCACCCAGGCATCCAGATGACCTTGGGTGATGGGTTAGGAATTCTTATACATAAAATGAGAGAACCGTTAGAGAGGCCACAGTGATCTGTCTCATCACCAAAACGTAAACTTTACCCAAACAAGGGTCTGCTGTTTTTACCAAACTCCTAAGTGAATCAATGACCCAAAAACGGCTGGAACAAGCACACTGAGCTCTGATAAACAGCCTCTGATTGGACTTTCGGGCAAGGACCCTTAAACCTGCTAGAGATCCTGCCACATGGCCAGTAACTGCTGAGGACTGTCCCCTCATTCAATGAGCATTCCTCCTCCCCCCTCGCCATTCTGTGTCTTCAGTGGGAGTCCTGATGAGCTCAGAAAGAGCTGGGGCAAATAGTAATGGAGAGTTGAGCCCTAGAGAGGAACAAACACAAATGGCCGAGTAATTGAACTCCCTGGATAATCCATTCAGGCAAAACAGAGTTTAAGAAGCATGGAACTTTTATGCGTGCTCTGAAAAAGCCATATTTCCCTCGTCAGTACCCCCACTATATTCCAAAAAGAACTTCAGGAGATTTCCAAGGGAAACATGAGGAAAAGGAGGCTCCTGTCACACTACTTTCTCTTGCTGTGACAAATACCTGAGTTGCTCAACCTGTAGGGGAAAAAAAAAAAAAAAGGAAAATTTCTTTTGGCTCACAGTTTTGGAAGCTTTGGTCTGCGATCGCTTGGGCCTATGCACTGGGTCTGCAGAAGCTCTATGACATTCCAGTTGGAGTGTTTGGAAGAGGCACGCTGACTGCAGAGCCTCTTTATCTCAGGAGCGAGAAAGAGAAAGGGGCCTAGATCCTAAAATACCGTCCTCAAGGTCATGGCTTCCTGTAACTACTTTCCACTAGGCCTTACCTCCTGAAGTACTTAGGCTTGGGACTGAGCCTTTATGAGGTGGCCTTTGGGTGACACTGAGGAATCAAGCTGTGAGACGTACAAATCAAATGTAAGAACAAGCAACCAACAAAAAACTAAAGTGTGCAGGTCATGACTTCCAGATTAGCCTGATAGGACTGGGAGCTTCCTAGGAGTCTAAGAGACTCCAAATGGTGCATTCACTCAGGGAAAATACAACCCTTGGCAAAACATCCACAGGAAGACCCCATGTGGTCTTAAGGATGACCTCACTGCCATCATGGTAGGCATCATACTGCTCTTTCTCAGTACTGCTGTGTGCTGCTGGCTCACCAAGGGAGCAGGATGCCAAGGGAGCAAGGGTACCCTTCGTCTCTACAGAGCCTTCCCACAGTCCTCTTCGTGGGAGTATGGATAATTCTGTCTGGCAGGCAAGTGGTCCTTAGGAAATGCCTGGCACACGGCTGCTCTTGCTGCTTCTAGGTAGCACAACTGTATCTGTAGGGCTGAGCCCAGAGCTGGAAAGAACCCTCTGTGGAAGCAAAGGTCTTAACGATAGGGAGGTGTAAGAATCTTTACCACAAAGCCCAGTGTCTTCCCGGGAACACTTTGAAGACACTGTGGTGACCCCATGCAAGGTTGGGGACCTCCCAACCTTCCTGCCACAGTGGTTGTATGGAGCCTTTAAGAACTTCCTGCCCTTGTCTTTGACTCAGCCTCCTTTCCCTCCAGCGCCTGGTGTCCATGAACATGCCTCTGAACAGCGATGGGACAGTCATGTTCAACGCTACGCTCTTTGCCCTAGTCAGGACAGCCTTGAGGATCAAAACAGAAGGTAATGGCTCTTGTGGACCACCGGTAGGAGGATGCCTAGCAAGGTCCAGCATCCCCACCAGAAAGATGCTCCTCCTGCCTGCACAGCATCAGTGTGGAATAACACTGCGACTCCCCAAGAAATGCAGCGCGCTGACATTTTCTTTCATTCCTGAATGCCCCCTTTGCCATAGCTTATCTATTTTGGACTTCTCTTTTCCGTCAAACCCTAGAAATCACCCCAGTAACCTCCTGAAGACTGAGGGTTTAGTGCAAAATACCTAAGAGAAGGACCAAGCCCCATACGATGGCCTTGTATTAGGGGCAGGCGTGTCTCCCAAACATTCGGTTCTCCTTTAAAATTAAAATGACCTAGTGTGCTATGCTACACAGACTGTGCCCTCTCAGACAGGAGTGGGCTTACAATAGTGGGCCCTTCTAGTTTGCCAAGAGCTGCCCTGTGGGTTAGAAGCAGCCCTGGTGAAGGCATATGTCTTCCATCCCACTGATAACTTCTTTGAACTGCTCTGGGATATGGTGCATAGACACACCCCAAAAGCTGCTGCTGCTGCTGCTGCTCCCCAAGACACCCTGCTTAAGTGTCTCTTAAGAGTATGGTCAAAGCCAGTGCAGTGGCTCACACCTGTGATCCCAGCATTCAGGGAGGTAGAGCCAGGTAGATCTATGTGAGTTTGAGGCCAGCCTGGTCTACAAAGGGAGCCCAGGACAGCCAAGGCTGCGCAGAGAAACCCTTCTCAAAAAACAAACAAACAAACAAACAAAAGAATATGGCCAAAGAACAAAAGCATCAAAATTGTGAGCTATAGCTGAACACCAGCTGAAGCTCTGAACCCACGTGTCCAAGGAGGGAGGGGGGCTGGAAACCTGCATTTACAGCTAGCTGCACAGACGCCTCCTGTATGACCTAGAGGTTGGCCTCACGGGTACAGCCTGAAAGCCCCGGCTTTAAGCTGGTGTCCCCAATGCAGTGGGAGAGCACTGAGCATCGCACAGCACGTGTGTAAGTCCTTACCGCCTTGCTTCAGTTTCCATAGTGCGAAATAATGAAAGGAGGTGGCAGCCGGCATCTTCTTCTCTGGGTCACCCAGAGAGATGCCTTCTTCAGCTGTGCTCAGAACGTGAGGGAACCAAGAACCAATCCTGCAAGATACAGGTCAGGATAATGATCCAAGCTTTAAAAGATTAAATAAAAAAAAAAAACAACAGGGTCAAATTTCTTAAACTAAAAAGAAAGCAAAAGTAAGAGAAAAAAGGGGTGAGTTGCAAAAACTTCAGCCTGAGGTGGGTATAAATAGGCCTGTGCTAAAGAGAGAATTCAATACTCACCTAATGCACATGTGTATATAGCAGAAAGAGCTGGAAGGCTGTCTGGTGATATATTCATATCCATATCGAATTATCACCAAGTAGTGTGTACCCACATGTATTGAGCAGGGATCAGATCTGATCTCTCCAAACTTTCTACAGTGACTATTGTTTCCCTTCAGTTCCAAGGGAAGGGTTTCCTTTTCCGAAGAGAAAAGGACAGAATGATTGCTAGAAGGAATGTGCTGTAATACTTAAAGCTTGACGTAAATTAATAATGTAGGCTTTGGCTCGAGGAAGGAATAAAAAAGGCATATGTGGGCAGAAGCCAAGATTTATCGGTGCTGAAGATGCGCCACATAGGCAAACTGATGTCAGTGAAATGATGCTTGTGCCTGCGGGCAACACTGAGGGGCTGCCAGATACTCGCTCACAAGATAACCAGGAACTCCTGAGGAGAGAGGCCAGCCAGTGGAACAGACAGTTAATTAAGAATTAAAGAAACACGCTTAAACGTTCTCTGGATAGTCATCAAGGGCATGTAATACCCCGGGACTCAAGGCTGAGCTTCAGCCAAAACAGGCCTTCTGTGAACTTACTATATAGGACTGGGAACCATCACCACACTCAGAGAAGAAATAGGAGGAGATGCCACATTTGTAAAGGTAAGATAGAGCAGTCTTCACTCCCCTTTCAGGCATCTGTTAGTGTAAGTAACTAGAAAGAAATTAACATGTACCTTGAGAACCAGAACCCTTATCCCAAACCAGGTGTCAAGCTGAACAAGATTTTCTGTTGGAACACTGAAGAACACTGAAAGAAGATATTTAAAGATATTTAAAAGAGGGCTTGGAGTTTAGCTCAGTGGTAGAGCCAGTGCCTAGCGCACACAGGGCCCAAGGTTCTGGTCCCAGCACTGAAAACTGAACAATAAAAATAAATTTACATAGTATGAAAGAACAATGGGGGAAGTTCCACCATTATATGGGTCACCCAGAGAGATGCCTTTGGTACAGAAATAAAAGCCTAAAAAAAAAAAAAAAAGAAGGAGCCCTTAGGAGATACATTTGTTCCTTAGGTCTGACTAAATGATCACACACTCCATTCCTCTTATGAGAGGAGCAACCGCCCAACATAAGGTGTTGGCAGGCTGGTTCATCCTGGCAGTCTGGGGAAGAATGGATTCCATGTCTCTCTCTCTTTCTAACTTCAGGAGGTCTCAAGTACCTGGCTCCATCCCTCAGTCCCTCCCGCCTCTTCATAGTATGACCTAGCCTCTGTGTGTGGTCCTCTCTTCTTGCTCTAAGGGCACCAGTCACATAGGATGTGTGATCTGCCCTAACACAGCATGACTTCACTAGTTACCTCTGTGACCCTGTTTCTAGATAAGTTCACATTCCAAAGTTTCAGGGAGACATGAGTTTGGGGGTATTGTTTTTTTCAACCCAATACTAAAGAAGAGTTCATCTGCAAATGTTTTAGTTGGGATTCTTTGACTTCGGATTTCAGAAACCGCCAAGTCCGGAATGGTGGTGCATACCTGTAATCCCAGCATTTGAAAGCCTGAGGGAGAAGGATCATGAGTTTGAGGCAAACCATGGATACATAATAAGCTCTTATTTCAGAAAACAAACACAAAAGAAGCCGTGAACCACCTTCAGTGAAGGGAACTGAGGGGCTGTTGGGATGCCCAGGAGGTGTTCTGGCTTCAGCTGCAGTTTGAATTTGATGCTCAAAGCACTCAGGAGCCATCGCTGACTCCTCATGACTGCCTCTGCTCGCTCCCACATACCAATCCAGAGCTGGGTCTGGACTTAGGTGGTCTGACCCCAGAGCTCACACTGTTTTGCAGTCGCCTCCCATGTAATAAATGTAGCTGTCAGCCATATCCTCTTTCCGTTGCTCTGCAGCAAACCCCATAAACTTTACGGCTTCAGACAACACCCAGTTATTGGCGCACAGGTCTATCAGAAGTCCAGCCATGGGGAAGTGGGGTGCTGTGCTCCCAAGACCAAACTCAGTACCACTAATGAGGCCGTGCTCCCTCCTGGAGACTCAGGGGAGGATGCTACCTCCAAGCTCATTTGGGTTGTGACTGGAATTCTCCCACTACTGTTGTGTGCTCTCTACTTCCCCAGTAGATGCCTGTCAGCTGAGAGCTGAGGATGTCTTGGCACCTAGAGACTGCTACCTTTCCTCAGTACACTGTATTCTTTCAGGCAGACCTCTCAGGGCCACGGGTCCTACTGACCCTTCTCTTTCCAGCCAGAGAAGGCACTAGACCTCTTTTACAACAGCTGTTTCACTAAATATACAATGAACAAAGTATAGTTCATATACGTAAAAGTTCTGGAAGTTTAATGGGCTCCTGAGATTAGGTCACAGGCATCGTTTCCCCCTGGTCAAGTCATGGGTGCTGTGTGACATAATCTAGTCAGGAGTACCATGTATCAATACCCTCCCTCCAAGATATACATGGTGCATGTACACTGGTAGTGAGAGAGGGTATCATTGGAAGGGCCGTAGGACCCTACCTAGCATGTCCCCTCTTACAATTGCTTTTTAGCTCTGCTTCTCCACCGATATGAGGCTAGAGTCCCAGGCAGCATGCGTCTAACAAAGCCTGTTCTACCAGTGCAGAGAGGAAGTCCAAACTACCAGAGCAGAGGCCTTCTGGTGTCTCTGCCTCCACTGTTAGATTTCTCCACTTCCTTCCCTCGGGGACTCAGCAGAGATTCTATATGTGGCCTCTGTTGTACATGGACGTGTGAAAAGTGGACCGTCTTTCCTTCAAAATGTCTTCATTTCCTGCAGCAGCCCAAGGAGGTCATTATGAAATGTCACAGTCAGGATCAGCCTTGATGCTGTCCTGCACCTCGCAGGGCGGGACGGGACAGAACCGGACAGGACCAGACGGGAACTTTGGACTGATTCACAATGAAGTAAGAAAGGAAGGAGAATTGACACTAGACAGGGCAAAAAAGGAAAATAACAAGGAAAGAAAATGAGTAAAAAAAAAAAGAGATGGGGTATAGAAGAAACTAGAAAATAGCAAGATTGGAGAGCAGAACAGCAAGGGATTGTGCTGAATCGAGGTGACTTGTGGGGCTGAGGCCACCATTCATGGCTTCCCGGTGCATCCAGAGCATATGTTCAGTGTGCACTTCCTTCCATCAGGGAACCTAGAACAAGCCAATGAGGAGCTGCGGGCCATCATCAAGAAAATCTGGAAGAGGACCAGCATGAAGCTGTTGGACCAGGTGGTGCCCCCTGCGGGTGGTAAGTGTTGCCTGAACTTCCAGAGAAACACTACTGACCCAGCCTGTGGGGTTTCTCAGCCTTCCTGTCCTCTAGCTGTGCCATCATTAGCAGGGCAGACACAGCCCTTGAGACTTTCATGCTTGAGCCCTACCATGCATCTGGACCCCTCTATTCTGGACCCTTCTTTGTGATGTCCTGCACAAGCTTGGATGTAAACCCCCGGGTTAGAAATCTGCCGTAACCCCACATTCACATATGGGAACAGGCAAGCCCTTCCATGCTTATGGGCTTGGCAGAACTTTCTCGGAAACTCTACAATATATGAATATATATTCACCACAGGCCATCGGACTAACTGCACTAGAGTTGCTCTCAAGCTCTGGAAGGAAACTTGCCTGATCATCACATCGTTTTAAAAGCTCATTTTCCCCCCTAGAGTAGCATTTCTCATTGGCTGCCAAGCCACAGGACCCTTTTCATCTCAAGTACTTCACACCACCCCTACTAGGATCCCAAGTCAAAATCGTAGGTAACCTGCCTGGGCTTGTAATTTCCGCAGCACTAGCAGAATTCTTCGCCGTAAGGTGTGTTAAAAGCAAATGCCTTCGATGCGCACATGCTCAGCACACCTATACGAAAAGCTGTAATAACTGATGGAGTGCTCTCGGGCTAACACTTAGAGTGAGTAACTGTTGAAAGGACACAAGACAATGTGAATACTGTCAACACTTTCCTTTGTCAGGTGTGTTTTATTAACACGTTAGCTGAGCCCACACATTCCAGAAGCCTCTTTAAGAGGTGATACTTCCTGTTCGAGACCCACTTCCGAAAGGGGAAGCAAGGTGGGCTGGGAGCTACCACGCGCCACCTAATACTTTGCTGCATCGCTTTATTTACTGCCCGCAGCATCTTTATGGAGGTCACTCCCCTACAGATGGGAGTCCCTCCGGGCACTGATGTTCTTAAAAGCTATGCAGTTTCCCAGTGAGTTCGGTGTAGACTCAGGCATCCAACTCAGGCCTGAAGGAACCTAGGATGGACGCCCAAGTTCATTCCCCATTTCCCTCATCAGGGATCTCCAGGGTTTTTCCTGCCTCATGGTAAGCCCAGAACTTCTGTAGAGTTGGCTCCTCTCAAGGAACCGTGAAGACCAGGAAGGCCATCACAGGTCCTGAGGCTCAGCCCAACCATCCGTCCCTCTCACACAGGAGACAAGACAAAGGGGCTGCTTGCTGGGCAGGAAGCATTCCCCTGGGGGCTTACAGCTTCCTTGCCATTTAGCTCACTCCTAAGATTAAGACAGTATCATGTGTGGTCTTGAACACCGAGCCTAGCAAGGAAGGACACATGTCTAGCCAGTCTAGCTGGTTGGAAGGGAAATCACTTTCCCCCATCAGTTCCTCTCTCTCACCCCACTAGAATTTTGTTGGCAATAAGGAGACCGGTCATTTGATGGGAAGTGGAATCAAACACTTGATTGATTGAATCAATCAATCAAGAAGAAGTAAGGTGGGAAAGAAGTAAGGTGGGAAGTAACCTTGACAATATCCTACCTTTTCTGCAGAGGAAAAAATGAAAACAAGCAACCAAACAGACAGCCAGGTTCAGACAGGAGCATATGCTTCTGGTCTTAGCTACTTAGGAGGGAATGGGTCACTTGATCCTAGGAACTGGAGGCTGCCTGGACAAAAGAGGGAGAACTTATCTTAATTAGAAAGGGGGACAAGAACATGCTTACCTGTTTCTAGAAAAGTACTCAAGAAACTAATGATGTGATGGGCGGCCAAGAGGTGGTGAGCAAGCAGTCAGGGGTGTGGTGACTTTTCATCATATGCCTTTTTTACATGCTTTCTCTTGAACTAAGAAAAGGGAAAAAAAATTAAAGCTAATATGCTAAAGAAGTGTTAAATGCTGGAAAAAAAATGAAGGAGATCTGGTGGAATCACTCATCCTGTTCTCCTCTCCATGTATGTGCCTTAGATGACGAGGTCACAGTGGGCAAGTTTTACGCCACCTTCCTGATCCAAGAGTACTTCCGAAAATTCAAGAAGCGAAAAGAGCAAGGGCTGGTGGGCAAGCCGTCACAGAGGAATGCACTGTCTCTGCAGGTGAGGGGCTGGAAGGGGGCACCCACACTCAGAGGTCCTGGTCACCCCCCCCCCCTGACGCCAGCCAGGGTCCAAGTCTTGCTAGCTACCTAGAAGCTAGGTCCTGTCACAAGAACACTGTAAACCTTCCCAAAGGTGAGAAGGTAATGTGGCCCTCCCCTCTTGCATTCTTGCCTGCATGCTTCCCTCAACTGGCCTGCTGGCTTTCTTTTCCCAGCCAACAGTCCTCTTAGAACCTTTGCTCCTGACACAGCCCCTGGTTCTTGCTGCTCCTGTAATATGCCTTCATTGCTCCTAGATAGATGAAGAGTTCCTTCTAATCTAGGGTGATGGGGAGTGGGGAGGGTTGTCCATGGGAGCCCGTCTCCTGGTGTGGAGGCCCAGCTGCCTGGCAGAGAAGCTGAGAGGCAGAGGCTTGGGGAGGAGCAACAAGGTCCTAGACGACTAAAGATCAGTAGAAAGGGCCTGGGTTGTCACGTGTCCTTCTGGGTTCCAGGCTGGCTTACGCACGTTGCATGACATTGGTCCTGAGATCCGGCGTGCCATCTCTGGGGACCTGACGGCTGAGGAGGAGTTGGACAAGGCTATGAAGGAGGCTGTGTCTGCTGCCTCCGAAGATGACATCTTCAGGGTAAGTGCCATGACTGGTGTTCTTCACGAAGTTCAATTTGGAGCGGCAGTGTGCTAAATTGGTGCTTTGCCTGGTCTCCCTGAGGAGAGCCACACTCTATTTCATCAGCCATCTCCTGATTCTCTGCCTCCTTCCCAAGCCAACTCCATGACACAGCAGCTCAAATCATGACCCAGCCCTCAGAGGACAGGAGGAACCTGTTTCTCTAAAGAAGTGTTCTTGGAGAAGTTTCTCATCAGAAGGTATGGAGCACCATCTAATCGGAAACTTCCCCGTTAGAACTTCTCCGTCCAAAGGTGTGGAGCAAGGGCTGGGCCATGTCTAATTTGAAAACCTGTTTTATTCGCCAATATTTGAATATCTGGCATATCTAAATAATTAAAAAAAAAAAAAAAACCTCCTGGCTTTTCTTGAAGGAAAAAAAAATCAGGTTAAGTGGCCACATTAGGTGTGGGCTCTCGTGTGGCAGCTAGACAAACAGCGGTTGCCCTGTTACTATAGAGCATGTGCTATCCAGATCACAGTGGGACCCTCCCAGCCTCTTCCTCTTTCCCTGGGGTAATATTAATGCAGTGGGGAAAATCACATACTTCTGTGCCATAAGACTGCAGTCTTCCATCTTGCTTCTTCGCTTCTCCTTCTGGCCAATCCCAATCTCCAGGTCTGGCTCCCAGGCTATAAAGCACATAGGGAACCAAACCCAGCCCACCCTGCTATGCCCAGCCTTGGAACCTCATCCTTTCTGGCACCACTGAAATATCCATCAGTGAATGGCCTCAGAGATACAGAACACCACCCTTCCAAGACTCTAGACGCCAAGACCAGTCACCAGGACCCAAGGATTAGACAAACCTTTCGAACCACTACATCCCACCCTCACCCCTCGCTCTTGGACAAAGAAAGAATATTGGAGAAAAACACTTGTTCCTGCCTTCAAATCTCAAAGAATCCCCTGCGGGAAAGGAAGCCTTGACACGAGTGATACAGTAAACTCTTCACTCTTAGTTTCAATTTGACCAATACAACTCCTAGCTCCATGAGCCAATTGTAGTTCCACCAAAACAATCTGGTTCGCATCTTCCGTTCCTTCTCCCCAGTCTTAAGCACTCACACAAAGCTCCCCCAAGCTAACCAGCTGGCTTCTAAGCAGCCGCCTCACACTTGCCCTTCAACCCCAACCTCAGTCTCCAGTGCTCCTCTGGAAACAAACTTCCAGGGTAGTTTCTAGACCAGAGACCTCCTGCCTGCCCAGGCACAGGAGGGAATTCCTGTCCTGGCACTTTGGGTGAATTATGGAACCTCGCGCATCTAATTCCCTCCCTCTACCATGTGTCCAGAGTGTGTGCCTTTCTGCAGGGCCCGTTGACTTCCTGTGGCCTGTGCTTCTTAACCCACTGCCATCCAAGGCAAGAGAGAGAGGGGTGTGAGAAGGGAGTGGAGAGAGAAAGATGATGGAGAAGGCTTTTCCACCTACCCCTCTGTCTTGTCTACAGAGGGCTGGAGGCCTGTTTGGCAACCATGTCAGCTACTATCAAAGTGACAGCAGGAGCAACTTTCCTCAGACCTTCACTACCCAGCGCCCACTGCACATCAACAAGACGGGAAACAACCAAGGTGACACGGAGTCACCATCCCACGAGAAGCTGGTGGACTCTACTTTCACCCCCAGCAGCTACTCCTCCACGGGCTCCAATGCCAACATCAACAACGCCAACAACACTGCCCTGGGCCGTTTCCCCCATCCCACTGGCTACTCAAGCACCGTCAGCACTGTGGAGGGCCATGGGCCTCCCTTGTCCCCCGCTGTCCGGGTACACGAGGCAGCATGGAAGCTCAGCTCTAAGAGGTAAGCAGGAGGGTGGACCTGGGGCGAGGGCTCACACACCCTCCCAGATCGACACCAGGAAAGACAGGCTTAGGCCCCTCGGCCTTCTGCTCAGCCTTCAAGCTCCAGCAGCTAGCCACCCACAGCTGTTCCCGCTCACACATGGCGATCCCAGTGAAGGCAACTCTGTTCTGTTTCTCAGATGACTTCTATCCTCCCTCCTCAGCATGTTGACCTGGGACCCGAAACGTGTGACTTGGGCCTGTGCAACAAAACCAGCCTTTGCCCTTTCCCGAATCCCTGAGGCTGGCCTTTCATCCAGTTGCCGTTGGGCTGGATATCCACTTTTACAGCATTAGTGAGAATGGCTCCTGGGACCTTCCAAGTCTTCCACCTCCTGGCTCACCCCTTTTCCCCCACTGCCTTGTGCTGTAGGATACACCGCTATGAAATGCCGGTGGGGTGGGCACTGTAACTGCTCTAGGCTGTGAGTTAGCATGATTGGGGCCTCTGCGGGTCCCACTCTCTGCTTCATCAACTGTAGGCTTCCTGAGCTGGATGGGAGAGGACACATCCGTCCCGTCTTGTCACATTGCCCTTAACTAGCAGCCCTTCCAGCCCTAGCAGGTCACACAGATCCCCCAAGTCCACAGGTTCTTGGTGAGACTGCCCTGTTTTTGCTCCCTCTGGCCCAGAACGTCATCAAGAACCTCAAGCATTGTTTCTGAATCCCAAGTGGCCTGATCTGCTATCCAAGGAGCAACATTCTTGCTTGATGGTTTTCACATGGTCCCATTTCCAAGTGGCTGCATGCAAGTCCCCACGGCCCATACACTTGAACCGCTGATTCCAGACACGTTGCTATGGCATCCACCCTACCTACTGTCTACTCTGGAACACTCGCTGCTTTAATCTCCCCACGGCAGCACTGGCTGAGCCCTTGGACCCACGACTCTACACACAGGCCACCAGACCGTCCCACCACCTTCGAGGATTCAGTCCTAGTGCTAGCTTTTCCCTTCGATGCCTTGTGAAAACCTCTCACTTTTCTTTTTTAAACTTTTATTTACGTTTTTTTCTTTGACGGTTTCACACACATACATATTTTAATCATATTCATCCCCCAGTACCCTGTCTTGTCTCCTTCCAAGTCCCACTGGTTTCCCTCCTACCTCCATGCCTTCCTTTTTTATGTGGCCCACCGAGTTTAATTAGGGCTGCTTGGATAAGAATGGGTGGAAGGTTGCACCGATGAAGACACTAATTCTCCTCTCTGAGCTAATATCTCCTCCCGGAAGGGTGGAGTCTCCTGAGCCCCGCCCCCTTCTCGGTGACCCTGTCTTCTAAGACTGTGGCAAGCAGTGTTTTCACAAGGCTCCTCCAATCCTCCAGCTTCCTGGCCCCCGCTTCCCTAATGTTCCCCGAGCCTCGGAAGGGGTGATGCAGATGTCTTGTTTAAAAAGTAGCATCTCTGACCAAGGCTGAAAGGAGCAGTAATCCATGGATACAAATGCAAACATTTAGGAGGCATTTTGACAAACATATCTATGTAGTAAAATAACAATAGGTTCCCACAGACCTGGGGCCCTGACATGCTGGGTCCCTGAGAACAGAGCTGCAGGGAAATACTGAGGCACACATGGACCGGAAGAGGAAGAGCACCTGACCACAACTTGGGAACAAACGATCAGATGGGCAGGAGGCCCTGTCCCAGAAGGGACAGTACTCTCCTCAAAGGCACAGCCAGGTGTGGCAGGTTCTCTCAGGACGAGCCCAGGCTCAGCACAGACTTGGGCTTATTCTGTCTGCTTAGACAAGCCCCATGTATGAAGTTTCTCCTCTGCACCTTCCCTTCAGGGTCAGAACAAAGATGTACTGAATATGATTCCGGGACTTGTCAGTTGCCTCAAGCGGCCACCTACAGGCTCTGCTGTCCACAGCTAACCTGTGCCACCTTGCATTGACCACACAGTCCTTTGAAGGACTCTGCTTCAAAGTCAAGTCTTCCCTCACATCTGTCTTTTTGCATGTTCAAGTTTGTGTAGGGATACATGTTCTCGTGTCTGCACATGTATAGAGGCCAGGGATCAGATGTCTTCCACGGAGACAAGATCTCTCAATGAGCCTGGAGCTCACCAACTCAGCTATCTGTTCCCAGCTTCTCCTTGTGGGTACTAAGGACCGGACTCTGGTCCTCAAGCTTGTGTAATATGACAGGCACTTCACTAACTAAGCCCCTGTGTCAGGCAGGGGATGTGTCACTCCAGTGCTATAGAGGAGGAAACTAAGGCACAGGTTGAGCTAAAGGTCTTGATCCAAAGGGTAAATGAGTTGTGGGCAGACTTCAGAGACCTCCTTGAATCTCCCATACAGAGCCTTGTCATAGCCTGAAGGATCTATAGCTCTGTGGCTTCACCAGAAGCTGTGGGACTCTGTGTGTGTGTGCTCAGTTTCATCTTACTTGCTGAGGAAGAGCAGGAGGGCTCGCAGATTCTGACACCTTTCCCCACCCTTGCTACAGGGACCACTCCCGTGCGAGCCAGGGGGCCACCGTGAGTCAGGAGATGTTTCCAGATGAGACCTGCAGTGTGAGGATGGGGGAAGACGCTGAGTACTGCAGTGAGCCCAGCCTGCTCTCCACAGATATGTAAGCCTCCTCCCTGCCCAGGCCACCCCAAGTGTAGGAGGGGATGGGGGACTCCGGAATGGTACTGATCCCTCCTCACAACGGTATATCAGTCACACCTGCCCAGGATTCCCTCTGCAGCTTGGGTTGTCTCACAGCAGGCCACTTCCAGGAAACCTTTTAAATACCGTGTCTTAAACTTTGGGACTGTGATCAAGTCGTAGGTGTTATTTTCTAGTATGAGTCAGTATACATGTTGAATGATGCTTAAATAAACCCGTTACAGAACAGCTCCTTTTAAGGCTGCCCTGTGAGGCACAGCTGCCACACCTGGGGACACTAGTTCAGTCCTCTTGGGAATACTTCGCTTCCATCTAGGTCCACTGGGAGGCTGTAGTGTCCATCCGATTAGAAGAACTGGTGCTCCGAAGAGCTGGATCGGCATATGTTTTGTGAATAACTAGAAAAGAGGGCCTCAAAGGTGCCAACCACAAAGTCCTACAAAAAGATGGGGGCATCCATTACATACTGCGCATGCCTGTCGAACCATCACTGTGTGCCAGATGAATACTGTGCTATTACGTATCAGTCAGTGGACTTGACTGTTTACAGAAATAGACATAACTAACTAGACTTAGTCATTACACATTATCTACGTGTGCCAAATGGTCACACCGTACCTCATAAGTCTGCAGTTAAATCAATAATAATTGTTACAAATAGATAAAATGGAAGGACGACAGAAGATGTTGGATATATCAGATAAGTTAATGTTGTTTATGAAGTATATGTGTAAGTGTATGCCTCTCTAGACTCCTTGTAGGATATTTATGACTATTACAGAAACCCTCCACTTGCCTGAAGGTGCTTCAGTACGCACCAAGTTCTTGGGCCCTTAAAGTTAAAAAGAAAAAAGAAAAAAAAAAAAAAAAAAAAAGCCCAAGATGGAAAGACTCTTATTGAATACTTGCCTGACTCCAAATAAGCCACCTTTGAAACCCAGAGATTTTACTAACTAATTAGGAAGCTAAGAGATCACAGAAGAGAGAGAAAATGTGGGACCTTTCTAACCAGCTACCCACAGGATGGTAGCAGTGCCAAGGGACATGCCGAGCAAGTCCAGCAGTGGGGTAGCTGAAGCTGTGTGCCACACCAAGCAGAAGCCAGATCTGTCTGCAAGAGCCAGGACAGCCAAGTAAGACGAAAATGTAATAGGGATGATTATCTAGTTGGGAACAGAAGCAAGGCTTGGCAGTGTAAGAATATGAGAGCCTCAGGTCCCAAACTCCCCTAGATACATTGTTAGAATCACTGTGCTTGGCTGCAGCGGTGGATCCAAAAGAAACAGGCAGTACAGTGTCAGCCTTCAAGATGTAAAGAGCTCTGTGAGCGCAGCTCAGTGGTAGAATGCTTGCCTGGCATGATCCTAGTCCTGGGTTCCATCCTCAGCTCTGCAAGAGAACAAAATAAATAAATAAACTTAACCAAAGGTTATCATTGGCAGCACAGTCTGTGATCCAGTCTATGTCACCGAACGCTGGAGCACAGCTGTGCTTCTCAAACTGAAGACTGGCCAGCAGAGGGTCATGAAGTTGCTTCAGTGGGTGATGGCCAGTAGTCTTTGAAAAAAAGAATGCCAACGAAAGTAGCACGGAAATAATCAGAGAGTGGTGCATGCAGTTAGGGAAGTGTCTCGTAGGGCGAGGTACGCCTGTGGTACTGTGGATATGTATAATATAGTTCTTTTTGTGGTGCCCCGTCAAAAAGGTTGGACGTCATCAACTAGATGCCCTACGGTCTGCCACCGCCAGGCTATCTGCCAACTAGATGATTGCATGGCCACTACAGACAGTGGCTTGTGTGCTCTTAATGGTGAAGAGATAGCCAGGCAGGGGAGAATTGGAGGGATCGGGGATGTTGTGGTAGCATTGAGAATGGACATAGTGAACAGCACAGACCTATAAAGATGGGCATCCAGGATACTTCTAAGAGAATGTTATATGGACCTCGAATTCTTTTCCCAGCTTTCTCTATGCCCAAGAGAGCCTCCACTGGCTGAGATCAGAAACGCAAGGAAGGCTCTGGGCTAGGATGGGAGCTCATTGAGCACTTGCCAGTCATGCATGAGGCTTTGAATTCCAATCTTCAGCCTGGGGGGGGGGGGGGGGGGAATACAAACAAGAAGATCAACTGCAAGGTTCTGCACAGGATATGTATCATGAGCTGTGACCCCACGCTCCCAACCAGCAGGCCTGTGAGATGACAATGCCTGAGAGCAGACACAGGTGTCTTAGAATACCCTGCTGCGTGCTCCCCACACCTACAGTGCAGGCCATGCCTTCACTAAAGAAAATGAAAACTGCTTCCTGGGGCTAGCAGCTGTCCTGACAGGGGCCACCTCTGAGCCTCCGGGAACAGCGCTAAGGGTTCTCTGTTCCAGACTCTCCTACCAGGACGATGAAAACCGACAACTGACATCTCCAGAGGAGGGCAAGAGGGAGCTCCGGCAGTCTCCAAAGAGGGGTTTCCTTCGCTCGGCCTCTCTAGGTAAACTCACACCTCTATCTGCAGGCGTGGGCAAGTAGTCACCTCCAAGATGGCAATAGTCAGACACCAAGTGACAGCTGAGACACTGTTAGGGCCACACTTAGGCTGCCTCTAGAGATGGCCTGGTAGGCATGCGGAGTGACAAGATTGCTCAGACTTGGTTGGAATGGGGCACAGACATCGGCTACTCCGATGCCTCAGAGACAAGCTGAGGCATAAGAAAGAGCTTGGGGCCGGTGGCACTAGCCTTTGAACCTCACCATAGAGGGAGCCTCTTTCAGTCAACTGGAATAAACATCTGAGACGGTCAGCTTAAAAACCAGAAAGGCTAATTTGAGCTCACGGTGTTGGAAGCTCGGCTCATTACATTTCGGCCTGTGGCTAGGTAGCACATCATGATGGGAAACGTGTCCTTTGCCTCCTGGCCTGGAATATTAAGGAGGGAAAGAGACCAGTGTCCCACACAAAGACACATACATCCCCATGGTAGAAAACCTCCCACGAGGCTCCACCTTTTAATATTCAGCCAACCCTTCAGTTGTACCAAACTGGGGACTACAGCTTTAATACAGGGCCCTTGGTAGACACTGCGGATCCAGACCCTAGCTGGGCCATCACGGGTCATTGCTGTCACCTGTGCCCTCATTCTGGTTCTCTGGCTACTTTTGCAGGTCGAAGGGCCTCCTTCCATCTGGAGTGTCTAAAGCGACAAAAGGATCAAGGAGGAGACATCTCTCAGAAGACAGCCTTGCCCTTGCATCTGGTCCATCATCAGGTATTGGCACCTGTGGACAGGCCACAAGCCTGTGGTGATGGCAGACCCCTTCTGTCTTCCCTTCTCAGACCTCTGTACATTTGCCCCCGGGGTAGGGCCGTCCACTTCTCTGCACATACCACAGACTGTGATGCTGAAAGGCAGGTTCCCATGAAACCCTGGTGAGGGTCCCTCTCCTGATTCTAGCTGGAAGCTTCAGGGCTCAGGAGCTTTCTCCTTACAGTGCACAAATACCTGTCCCCTGTGTGCTGCCTGATGCTGCTGCAAAAGCACCACACTGGAGCAGAGACAGTATACCTAGGGTTTGATGGGACCCTGAACCTGAACTTCAGAGCAGTCTGTCTGTCCACCGCCATGCAGAAATGATGGCAGCCCGTGCCAACAACATGGTTGAGAATAGGGAATGCTGGGAGAGGTGGCCTTGCCTGAAATCACAGCGTTCACGGGACTAAGACAAGAGGATGGGGAGTTTTGGACTAGGCTGGACTGCGGGGGTGGGGGTGGGAGTGGGGAATGGTCTCCAAGGAGATAAGACCTGGGAGACTCACTGTATAAAATCCATCCCAGCACAGCACAGCCGAGACAGTGAAAACATTGGCATCACACTCTCAGTATCTGAGAACAAGTAGAAACTTCAAGCTATGGCCAGCATATTACCCACAACAAATGGGGGACCTCACCTGAGCTCCCAATTTATCTTTTTAATTACAAACTCTCTTTGGGGCCTATTTGTCATCGTGTGTGTGTGTGTGTGTGTGTGTGTGTGTGTGTGTGTGTGCGCGCGCGCGCGCACATGCCCGTGCCCACGTGCTTTTATGTGTGTGCACATGTATGCATGTGTGAATATGTTATGTACACACGTGTGTGGACACATGCACACATACATGTCTTCTGAACTGTTATCACTTCAGCTCAAAGTCCAAAGCACGGTCTAAATAGGGATTCTCGTCAACTCTCCAACATAATGAACATAGCTTTATGCTTCCCTTAGATTTCCAAGTACCCAGAAGCTGGGGACCCTCCCGAGCGGGGGGAGAGGAAAGAAAAGCAGGATGTGGGGACACTATGGGTGCTATTTATAAAGGTTTCTCTGGGCTGGTTTGCCCATCTATCTTCATGCTCAGAGGTAGGGCACTAGGTTTCCCTGTCTATCTTTCTGCCACATCCAACCTGCCCTCTCTGTCTTCCAGAGATGGACCTCCCCACCACACAGTGTCGTTCTTTTCAGCAAACATTTCACGTCTGAGCAGGGGACACTCACTCCTGAGAGAGTCACGGGGGACGGGGGAATGCAGATTTTCGAGAGCATTTGGGGACAGAAGGCAGACGCAGAGATCATTTAATCATGATGCAGTCTCGTATTAAAAGGAGTTCAGAACACACTTTGAGTGACAGGCAGTGAAAGTTAAAACATTGACTCCTGGGTTTGCCTAGGTCTCTCTGATGGCCACTGTGCCTCAAAGGCCTTACTCCTAGTAACTCCTGTTTCTTGTGTCCACAGGCATTGGCAGTGGCAGGCTTGAGCCCCCTCCTGCAGAGAAGCCATTCTCCTACCACATTCCCCAGGCCTTGCCCCACACCCCCTGTCACTCCAGGCAGCCGGGGCAGGCCCCTACAGCCCATCCCCACCCTACGGCTGGAGGGGGCCGAGTCCAGCGAGAAACTCAACAGCAGCTTCCCATCCATCCACTGCAGCTCCTGGTCAGAGGAGAGCCCAGCCTGTAGTGGGGGCAGCAGCATGGCCCGGAGAGCCCGGCCTGTCTCCCTCACGGTGCCCAGCCAGGCTGGAGCTCCAGGGAGACAATTCCACGGCAGCGCCAGCAGCCTGGTAGAGGCGGTAAGTGAATTAATTCAAGCTCCTGGGGAGAGAGGGGACCCAGAAGCAAGAGACTTTGGTGCAGAGAAGGAGGCCTGGCTCTTTCCTAAGTAGATTGTGTGTTGCGTGTGTAAACTGGGGAAATGCTGAAGGAGGCCTGGCCTGCAGAAAATTACGACCATGACCATACCAGACAATGGCCACTGGGTGTGAGGCAGAGAGAGAAAGTTGGGGGCAGTGAACCCTAAGGAAAGCCCTGCTGCCTCCCAGTGTTCGCACCTGCTGCGGCTTGTTCCTACACAGAGGGCCAGGGTTCACTGTGCCCAACTCTGACAGCTCAGTAGAACACCCCAGAGCTTTGGAAGCTTGCCAAGGGAAACTGACATTTTCATGGTTTCCGGTGATTCTGATGCATGAGTGGCATTAGAGTCCAAGGCGAAATTTTTTTCTTCCCTCTCTCTCTCCTGAGCTTCCGTTTCCTCCTTGAGAGAGATTTTAATGTCACAGTCCTCTGCCTGTGAGGAACATTACTCCAACCTTAGCATCACATTTTAGGGTCCTTTGGCAAACTGAAACAGCCCAAAAGGAGGGTGGCATGGTCGGTCCTTAGAAACCATCTCCTAGGAGAACTGGAGGAGGGAAGACTTGCCAGCCAAGCTCACCCCAATGGGAGGTCTGTCTGTAAAGGAGTCAGCTGCCAGCCCCGGCCCTGTCAAGCAGAGGCTGCCTTTGTGCTGTGCGCAGATGGACCTGAGAGCTGGAGTTCGGTCAAGCAGCACTCTGGGCCTTGCCAGCTCTGAAACACTATTCTTCGCTTGAGCCTGGTTGTCCTCTATTCATCTCAGACATCTCTGAGACTCTTCCTGGGTGCAGAGGCTGTAGGTGGAGGGAGGCATTGGGAAAATGGGTTTCAGCTCCCATGAGCTCCCACTGTGGTGGTGAGGACAGATAAAGAGTAAGCATGCTGTGGCCAGAACAGGCAGGGTGTCTGAAAAATAATCAAGCGGGAGCGATGCAGGCAGAGGAGAAGGAGGAAAAGGAAGAGGACGAGGAAAGAGTTGTGGAAGAAAAAGACCACCGGACTCCACCATGTTCTTCTACCCGTTGGCTCAGAGACATAATAATGTTCCCAGTAAAACTAGTCACTCCGGCAGCTGGCAGGAAGAGTGAACACAGGATGGTCATCCACAGCCCTCCCAAACAAAAGCAGAGCACACACCCCACACAGGAAGCCCTGGAAAGGCAGACAGCCGGCCAGGGGAGGGGGCCAGCGGCTAACACTCGCCAAAGGAAAGTGAAGGCTTCTTGGATAGGGCAACATGAAAGATGTGTTGGGGGCCAAAGAGGAGAAAGAAAAGCAAGGGTGGACTAAGATCTATCTGCCTGTGCAAAAGCGGAGCAGAGCCCGCGGGCCAGAGTGTAGTGCTTGAATCCTCCCGCCTAAACCCCTCTCCTCTGATCTGTGCCTACTTCTTTGGTACCTGCTCCATCTCCACTTCCCTGTGTCACTCTCAGCACGCAAATACAGACACACCACCATGCGTGCACACACACGCACACTTACGTGGACATGTCTGTACACACGGATGCCCTGCTTCGAAGCTGCCCGAATATCCCAGCCTGCGACTGCATCTTCCGGGAGCGAGCGTGCAACTCCAGTGACCACGCCCCCCCTTTCTGTCTTCTCCCCCTCCCCTCCCTTTCAGGTCTTGATTTCCGAAGGACTGGGACAGTTTGCCCAAGATCCCAAGTTCATTGAGGTCACCACCCAGGAGCTGGCTGACGCCTGCGACATGACAATAGAGGAGATGGAGAATGCCGCAGACAACATCCTCAGTGGGGGCGCCCAGCAGAGCCCCAACGGCACCCTCTTACCTTTTGTGAACTGCAGGGACCCGGGGCAGGACAGGGCTGTGGTCCCAGAGGACGAGAGCTGCGCATACGCCCTGGGGCGAGGCCGGAGCGAGGAGGCACTCCCGGACAGCAGGGCCTACGTCAGCAACCTGTAGTCCGCGGGGCTGGCGAGACGCGGGTGTTTTTTTTTTTTTTTTTTGGTTTTGTTTTTGGTTTGTTTTTTGTTTTTTTTTTCGTTTCAATGTTCCTAATGGGTTCGTTTCAGAAGTGCCTCACTGTTCTCGTGACCTGGAGGTAACCGGAACAGCGTCTCCATTCACTGCTGTCGGGACAAGCCTCAGAGCTGGGCGGTGTGCGGAGTCGGCTTTTCTGGGGAGAGAAGGCCAAGGCCGCGGTGCGGGGCTCCAGCACCTCCCCGCGGCAGCACCGCCCAAAGGACCCCACCCCCCTGAGCGAAAGGGTGTTTCCCCCCTTGCTTGTATAAACAGACATTTGCACTCGTTCTGTCTGAGCCTGGCCGTCTCTATGGAGCAGGGCCCCAGGGATCTATGGCGGGAATGGGCCAGCACCCCCTGCAGGGGCCGGGGAGGCGGCTCCAAGGTTCCCAGCGCTGCAGGTCCGGTCCCTTCAGGATCCTCCTGCCCCTGCAGGAGCCGGGGTGCAGGCGGTGGAGCCGGCGCAGACCACACCGCAGGCCCTCGGCTAGCCAGGCCCGGGGCGCAGGGGCTGCCTAGTGCTCTGGGTTTCCTGCTTTGGTGGTTCCCGTCAGCCTGTTGATGCGGTTTTCCTGGGTTGTTGGTCTCTTTATTAGTGTTTGTCGTGCTTTCCCCACGGGGAGGGGAGGAAGAAGAGCGTTTACAACTGCGCAGCCTCACTCACTGTTTCCACATTTGCGAATTTAAGTCGGATTTGGTTTCTTATTTGCTTTTAACCGGTGCGGTTCCCCCAGCCACCGTCCATGGAGCGAGGGTTCAGTAGCACCACAGGGGGTTTTTACCTGCTCTGTGTCTGCCCAGTAACGTGTTACAATTTCCTTAAGAGCAACTTTTTTCTTTCTTTCTTTCTTTCTGGTGTGGTCGATCATCACAAATCCGCAGGTTAACCAGCAATCGGATGAGGTGTTGTGCGCCTGGGTGGTTGAGTTGGGCTCCTTTCTATGCTGGGCGTACGGGTAGGTTCAGGAGAGAAGAAATATGGGCATCTTTGCGTCACACTTGTGTCCATAGTGGGTCGTCTGTGCGTACGTGCGCCCACGTGTGTGTGCGCAATCCACCCCACTCTCACCCCTACCCCACCCCACTACTTCACCCCCCCCACCCCCCCACCCCGCACAAAAGTCCATAGATCCCGGTTTGGGTTTGACTGCAGGGAGTTCTGAATCTGGGGCTATTCGAAAGCAA